CCCTGCTCACTCTCTTTCTCTCTCTCAGAATAAATAAACTTAAAAAAATAATAATAGGGGTGCCTGGGTGGCGCAGTCGGTTAAGCGTCCGACTTCAGCCAGGTCACGATCTCACGGTCCGTGAGTTCGAGCCCCGCGTCAGGCTCTGGGCTGATGGCTCAGAGCCTGGAGCCTGTTTCCAATTCTGTGTCTCCCTCTCTCTCTGCCCCTCCCCCGTTCATGCTCTGTCTCTCTCTGTCCCAAAAATAAATAAACGTTGAAAAAAAAAATAAAGAAAAAAAAAATAATAAAACAAAATAAATAAAATAAAAAATAAAAAATAAAAAATAAATGAAATGAAATGAAATGAAATGAAATAAAATAATAAAAAAATAAAATAAAATAAAATAAAATAAAAAAAAATAAATAAAATAATAAAATAAAATATAAAATAAATAAAATAAATAAATAAAATATAAAATAAATAAAATAAAATAAAATAAAATAATAAAATAAATAAAATAAAATAAATAAAATAAAATAAAATAAAATAAAAAAAAAAAAAAATAAAATAAAATAAAATAAAATAAAATAAAATAAAATAGGGGCGCCTGGGTGGCTCAGTCAGTTAAGCATCCGACTTCAGCTCAGGTCATGATCTCCGTCTGTGAGTTCGAGCCCTGCGTCGGGCTCTGTGCTGACAGCTCAGAGCCTGGAGCCTGCTTCCGATTCTGTGTCTCCCTCTCCCTCTGCCCCTCCCTGCTCATGCTCTGTCTCTCTTGCTCTTAAAAATAAATAAATATTATAAAAAATAACAAAGCAAATAAAATAAAATAAACGAAGTACCGATTTCCACTTCAATTACTCTAACTCCTCCACGTCTTTGAAGCACAGTAACCCTGGACTTGTATTGCTTGTTATCGCAGTAAATGGGTCGAGGGTGCAGGACGCCCTGCCGTGCACACAAACTCTCCAACTGTCACCTTTTCTGCGGGTGGCGCACTGACCTGTATTACTTGCATTTTTAGCAGCCTCCAAGGCGTCTGAGGGAACACCATCTGAAAAACTAAGACAGCGTGTGCAGTAAGTATCGCTAGCAAGGAACTTCCGGAGACAGACAGCACAGGGCACTTTCTTACTTAACGCAGGGAGAGGGATCTCTGCAAGGACAGAGCACAGCTACGGACGCACAGGTGTTATCCACGAGGTGCTTTCCTGTTCTCAAAAAAAAATCCTACCATCCAACCCCCCCCCCCCCCCCGACCTCCATGCCACACACAGCGGCTCTGATTCCCAGCCCTGGCCGAAGCGTCTTAGCTTACTCTTCTCCAGTTCCTTTCCCCCAAACTCTGCGACCCACCCTCAATCCAACCCCGCGAGCCAACCAGCATCCCGCTACAGCTTGGTCGGCCGCTAAGGGGGTCAGAGGAGAGCTGCCTTACAGGGTTCCTGGGACACGGTGCCCTCAGTGGCTCTGTAAGCCGGCCACAGAACGTCTCCACAAACAACGGAACTTCCCCAAAATGGGTGCGACAGGTCTCAGAGACGTCTGGACACAGCTCCCTTACCAAAATCAAACCACATCAAACACCACACCAGACCTTCAGAACAAGCCACGTAACAAAACTCTTCACTTGAACACCAGGGGGCGTGCGACGTGAGGAAGGCGGCCAGGACTTCACCTGGGAGGCACGAAGGCCTAGAGAGCAAAATGACCACTTCCCATAAAAGGTGTCCCAGGATCAGTATTTGAGACACTTCCCACGCGTGAAGCAAGTTTTCATGGGCTCAAATACAGGGGGGAAAAGGAGCCATCAGCCAGAGCTGCCGCTGGTGCTCACGGACGGGCAGCCTGGCTCGTGTTCATCAACCAAAACAGAAATCCCAACAAAGTCCGTCTTGGCTTACCTGTTATCTGCCATCTGAAGGCTCTGACCTCCTACGAATTGAAAAAGAGTTGTAACAATTAACATCAAATATTCACAGAGAACTTTCCGCCAGTGTGCCCATCGGAGCGGCCGTCTGTGGGGGCGAGGGTCTACCAGGAGGGAACTTTCTGGGCCGATGGAAATGTTGTAGATCGTGAATGGGGTGTTGGTTTCTTAGGTTTCTTAGACACATACACTTGTCAAACTCATCAAATCATACAGTAAGGACCTGTCAATTTCAGCGTATGCACATTTTACTCACAAAAAAATGTCTTTTCGGTGCTACAATGACCAGACTACAGGGTAAGAGCGATCAATCCTCATTTGCCTTTTCTCTATAAGAAGCTTTAACAACAAGGACGTGTGTTGATGCTAAGCCAATTATTCTGGAACCAGTCAAAGCATTTACTGGTGTTTACACTGTCTCGCACGCTCCGAATCACAGGATGATTTTTAAACTTTGTTCTGTATGTTCCCTTACTCCCACGCTAAAGATGTGGCACTGTCTGTGTAAAAGCACGATACAATATTCTCAGTCCAATCCCACTCTCAGAAGACACACACGAAAAGGGTTATCTTCAAATCAGGTGAATTTCTACCTCTAAATATTAAAGTTAGGTTCCAGGA